TGATTCTAAGTTTTTCTTAAGTAAGGCTTTTCTAAACATACGATAGTTCATAATGACACTTCCCTTTGCCAAGAAGAAAAACTGATTCTAAGTTTTTCTTAAGTAAGGCTTTTCTAAACATACAATAGTTCATAATGACACTTCCCTTTGCCAAGAAGAAAAACTGATTCTAAGTTTTTCTTAAGTAAGGCTTTTCTAAACATACAATAGTTCATAATGACACTTCCCTTTGCCAAGAAGAAAAAACTGATTCCAAGTGCCAGTAAGGGTTGTCTAAACATACAGTAGTTTATAATGGCACTTCCCTTTGCCAAGAAGAAAAACTGATTCCAAGTGCCAGTAAGGCTTGTCTAAACATACAATAGTTTATAATGGCACTTCCCTTTGCCAAGAAGAAAAACTGATTCCAAGTGCCAGTAAGGCTTGTCTAAACATACAATAATTCATAATGACACTTCCCTTTGCCAAGAAGAAAAACTGATTCTACGTGCCAATAAGGCTTGTCTAAACATACAATAGTTCATAATGACACTTCCCTTTGCCAAGAAGAAAAAAAACGATTCTGCCTGCCAGTAAGTCTTGCTCTAAACATATAATAGTTTATAATATATTCCCCTTTAGTAAAAACGAAAGAGACCGATTCCAAGTGCCATAAAGGCTTGCTCAAAACACTACCTTAACTCGTGATGACAATTACCTTTGCCAAGAAGAAAAAAAAACTAATTCAAAGTGCCACTAAGGCTTGCTCTAAACACTACAATAGTTCATAATGATAATTCCCTTTGCGAAGAAGAAAAAGCCGATTCCAAGTGTCAGTAAGGCTTGCTTAAAACTACTGTAACTCCTGATGACACTTCCTTTTACCAAAAACAAAAGAGACCTATTCCAAGTGTCAGTAAGGCTTGCCCTAAACACTACAGTAACTCGTGATGACAATTCCCTTTGCCAAACAGACCAAGAGCCAGTCAACCCTTCTCTAAACAGTACAATGATTCCAGATAACACAAAAAGAGAGAACTTTGACGCTTCTGGAGCTACACGTAATTAACGAGTAAAAATACGGTGTTTTACAAATAAATACTTAAACTTGAGGAAGAAACATAAATAAAGACGTATTTGTTGAGGATTTGAATAACATGTAGAACTAATATTGTTAATTTATTCTTCTTAATTACTTAGCAGACAAGTTGTTTAAAATACTAAAATAAGTATGAAGTCCGATCTATTATTTAATAGATTAGGCTTCGTAGAGTGATGACGAGTACATTATATTATAATATACACTAACACTACAAGAAGCCTACTCTTGGTCTGTCGATTTGCTCCTGTCTGGAGTTAGTAATGAGAGGTGTTATCTCCGACATCGATGTAACTCAGTAAAAACGTGATTAGCTTAGTATTTATCTTTAATCTAAAACAAGACAATTTAAATAGATATTTTAGTTTCTAATCTGCTCTGGAGGGTCTTAAAAGTCGTCTTTTCACATTAAAGCCTCATATTTAAATTGCTAATGGACCGAGGTGAGACGCACACACACACACATATAAATAAAGAAATAACTACATAAAAACAAGCGTTGAACAGATACAGCAGGGAAACAAATGACATTACGAGTCTACGGTGGAAGCAAGGTAGAAAGTAGCCTAATAGGAGAGGTGTCTGCTGAAAGTGGCCCGCGTACGCACAACCTGTAACTCCTATCTTGTAGTTTGTGTTATAGTTTGTCCATCTTATATGTGTGCAACACAAACTGTTTGTGTTCTAATTGTTTGAAACTGAAAAAAATAATTGAAAGTAGAGTAGTACTGTCGTATTGTGTTATCTTTCTTTAAGACTCATTAAATTACCAATATTGTTGTAAATATGTATATATGCACTTAAATGTTAATATAAACAGATAGATATATGTATGTATACACACACACACACACAAACACACATATGTGTGTGTGTGTTAGTTTTGTTTCTTTGCTTTTACAAATGTTTAGGTTTTTAGATACTGTATCGTTCTTAGTAAAGAAATTTTTTTATAATGTTTAGAATAGTTAGTTAAAAAAAAACAGCTGGGTGTGCCAAGTTACTGGAAATATCTAGAATATTTCATACATAAGGTTTCAAGAAACGTGACACTTTGTTAGTATTGAAGAGAAAGGAGAGAGGAATTTGACACATGGAAAGTGGGTCACGTGGAGACATCAACCAGTGATATTTGTTTTCGAGAGGGGGAGGAAAGGGAGGACACGAAAACTTTCTCCTATACAACAAAGGGAATTCTCTTGTTTTTAGGATAATGTGCAGTTGGCCTTTATTGAAGGTGTGTGTGTATAATATTTCGAATGGTAATAGTGGTAATATAAAACGAACTTTAAAGTATTAAAGTATATGGCAGTTGATATTCTTTATAAAACTGTCGTCTTTTCTTGCTTAAATTTTACAACTTTGCGCAGAGTTTATAAGATTTTTAACTTAGTAATAGACAGTGGTTCTTCTACTGTTCCTCTATTTGGCAAGTATGATTAATAAAATTTATATTTCATTGAACAACTATAACATATATTCAACTTCTAATTTAATGACAAATTAATTACCTTTTCAACTTGAGGCTTTCCATACTATTAAGGGGGATAGATTTCCTAGAAGGCTGGATTAAATAATAACAGTGATCATTGAGAACAGTTATCCTCTTACAGTTTTCTATCTCCTTCAGTGACTGTAACTGCTCTTTTAACAGACGTTTTTAACACTCCTTTTTCGTAATTGTCTCTTGGTGTGCATAAATCCATAAGGTATTACCATACAATACTACCCCGAAATGAAGAAAATTGCATGTCTTAGATATATATATATATATATGAGTGTGTATGTGTGTATACATATACTGAATTTGAATTATAGTTACGTGACCTTAAAGTTCATGAAGGTAAATATTATTGTCTATATACATATATAAACTTAAAGATTTAGTAAATACCAAATCTAGTTATCATGAAATGATTCTTCAAGACATTAAGAAGCTTCAGGCCATATTGCGGAGGTACTAATAGTTTGGTTACATCATCTGTATAACAGACCTATTGTGATTTGAAACCTACTTTATCAATAAAAAAAATCAATACACGTGATTATCTCGAGGTTGCAAAATTATATCAGAAAATAAACAAACGGTTTCTAGACTACGAAATAAAACAAGTGTAAATTCTGTACTAAAAACACACTAAAATTTAAACTTTTCTCAACTCCACAGTTAAAAAATGTGGAGAGAACAAAGATCTTTACCAGTTCCTAGGTCGCAGAGACCGGGAGAAAAGACTTGAATTCTAGTTCTGTGTGCTGGTTTACAGAGTATAGCGTCTATCCATAGAATAAAGCGGTTAACCCACGTGCTTTGTATAGTGTTCTAGACAATAGCGTCTAACAGCGTAGAGATAAAGTTAATCCTAGCTCTATGTGCAGGTTTCTGGATTGTAGTACTTAACGGTAGACGAAAGAGAATAGTTAACCCAGATTCTATGTGCAGGTTTCTGGATTGTAGCACCTAGCGGTAGAAGAAAGAGGATAGTTAACCCAGGTTGTGTTTGCCGGTTCTTAGACTGTGCCACCTAACGAGAAAAGGAAAGGTTAATCCACATTTTTTCTTATATTTTTCCCACCGTTGCACTAATTCATTTATTATACTTATATATATATATATAGATATTTAAGCATATTGTGCCTAACTGATCTTATTAACATCGCTTAATCATTTATCAGGTTAAAGAATCAATTACTGTCTATGATGGTTCGTCATGAATGTTTGACGAAACACTTATATTTTTTAAAGCATATTGTTCAGCGCTAAAAATCAGATTTCGATACCTGCGGCGGGCAGAGTACAGATGATCCATTGTGTAGCTATGCGCGTATTAACAAACACACTATTATTTCTATTAGTAACACTACGTGTGTGTGTGTGTGGTTACATCTCAATAAGATTAACAATAATTTAAATCACACTATTCTCTACCGCCCCACCAAGAATCTCTAGTAAAAAAAAATCATTGTAGTAGTTTAAATAGTTGAAACTATTTGTATTTTGAAACCGAATTAATTTTACTAAATATTTAAGTACAGCATATACTCCTTGCCAATGTATTTACGTTTTTGCATCTAATGTTAACATATTAAGCCGTTTAACTGAGCTTGGATTTTTTCGTGTATTAACTAAGATATTTTATTTTTCGTGTGCACAGATCTAATGACTACCATGAGGTAATATGTAAGGGTAATCTGAAACAAAAAAAGCCCGCAGAGCTGGTTTTCCAAGATGTCTGTGTATCTCGTAATGAAAAGAAAATTCTCTGTAATGTGAGTGGAAAGGCACGGCCTGGTGAACTGTTGTCTGTGATGGGACCAAGTGGTAAGAACACCCTGTTGGCTAATAATAATAGACTTAGATCTCCTGATATAAACCAATTAATAATAAATATTTCTACAAGAACCCTTTATCATATTTTCTGTGTTAGTTTGAAGAATTATTTATTTAAATCTTTTCATTTAAACCATTCAATAATTATTATAAGTGGGTTTTTAGATGATCTTATTAATATCGCTTAATTATTAATCAGGTTAAAGAATCACTCATTTAATTTCTCTGATTTAAACCATTTAATAATTATTATAGGTGGGTTTTTAGATGTTCACTAACATCACTTCTGGGTCAGGTTAACTAATTACCTATTTAACTCGATTCGTAATGGACATAAAAACATTCTATGTTGGACATAAAAACATTCTACGGTGGACATAAAAAACATTCTACGGTGGACATAAAAACATTTTACGGTGGACATAAAAAACATTCTATATTGGACATAAAAACATTCTACGGTGGACATAAAAAACATTCTATATTGGACATAAAAACATTCTACGGTGGACATAAAAACATTCTACGGTGGACATAAAAAACATTCTACGGTGGACATAAAACATTTTACGGTGGACATAAAACATTTTACGGTGGACATAAAAACATTCTACGTTGGACATAAAAACATTCTACGTTGGACATAAAAACATTCTACGTTGGACATAAAAACATTCTACGGTGGACATAAAACATTCTATATTGGACATAAAAACATTCTACGTTGGACATAAAAACATTCTACGTTGGACATAAAACATTCTACGTTGGACATAAAACATTCTACGTTGGACATAAAAACATTCTATATTGGACATAAAAACATTCTATATTGGACATAACATTTTACGTTAGACATAAAAAAACATTCTATGTTGGACATAAAAAAACATTCTACGCTGGGCATAAAACATAGCATAATTTTTTTTCTTGTCAAAGAAGTTCATCTACAATTTTAAAAATGTAAAGTCAGACGATATAAAAGTGTATTTAGTTACAAATTAACAATAAAGCATAAAACTAAGTAAATAGATTTTCAAGAAACGTGCTATCCTCATAAAATGCGAAAAACAACAACAACAACTTGACACTTAAAAGATTTAGAATAATTAAACCTATTCTACTTTCATGTTACCCCAAACCCGTATTGGGCAAGTGAGGAATGATTAGAATTAATATTATTACTAGATGTACTTCTACAGGTTCCAGAAAGTGTTCTGTTTTAAGAATAAATAAAACCAAAATGTTTATTATTGCGTTTAAAGTTCGTATGTCATGCTGTGTTGAATCCTACAAAGTACATAATTCTTCTCGTGATTTATGGAATGCGTACGCTTTATTGACGTCAGGACAGTACAAATGCAAC